GAAATTGAAAATTTTAGAAAGTCAGGATGGAGATTGGTCAGAGAGTTGTACATGAAAAGCTAAATTTGTATATCATATGGATAGCTATCAGGCTTCTGCCTGAGACCCCTCCTATGTCCTGGCCCCAGAGCTGGTGTTTCTTTGTCAGTGGTTGGGGCTGGAAGGAGGTAATGCTCACTAACCTAAAGTCTTTAGCCTCAGCTTACCACAGTTTTAGCAATGTCAGGGGGTGTTTTGCAACGTTCACTCATTTCAAAGTTCACAGAGAAATATAATCACAACTTCTTCATATGTGATAGAAAGCAACAGAAATCTTCATATTATTATAAAGTTGTATGAGAAACACGTAAGCAGATATCTTTAAAAGAGGGATTGTCTTCAAGTGGTTAATGACAGACTCACTTCTCTTTAATCGAACACATAGGTTTCCTCTCAGAACAGGGTCTTCTCTTCTACTTAAGGACATTAATAATAAATTCTAGCAAACATTTCTTACCACAGTTGTTGAGTTTGAGATGCACGCGTTTACATTTCTCACATGTTGGAATTTGAAATGTGTGGCAGATCATGAAAGGAGTAAGAAGAACTATAGATTCTTACTAAGAAGACTATATTTAAAAATGTTCCCAAGATTTATTTTAAAAGAAGCCAGATACGAGATGAAAAATAAAAACTTGGGAGATTGATTTAGAACGCAAAATGTTAACAAACACATTTTAGAAAGGGAGTGGGGAAGAAGTAGTTCCAGAATATTGCAAAAAAGAAAAAAATCTTCTGTGTGGAAGAACAATCTGGGAAACTGCACAGGTGCTAAGAAATAGCTCAATGCAATACGCTTCATGCTTTTATGTGGTTACCAGACTATGTTATTGGAGTGTATAATTGTGGCCCCTCATTGTAAATGGGAGTGAGTAAAAATTTTTCTTTGAATAATAACTGGGCACACAGACAGTGCCCTTTCCAGCTCTACCATCACTTCTGTTTTTTTTTGGTCTGGAGTGTACATAGGTGATATTTATGCTTTCCTGATACACTTTACTCACTGCTGACATTGGAGAAGATCCGGGAAAAGGCCCGAGATGAGTGACCTTTAGGGACATTTCTGTTCTCTTCCTGTACTCTCCTGCCAAGGACCAGTCGGTCTTGCATCAGGCCTGCAGCAACCTCAGTTGGTGATAATATCAGGCAATATCAGCCTGGCCTCTTCGCTGCTCCTTGTCTCTGACATTCCTTTGCTGCCTGATGGTCTAACTTAAGCCACCTAGGCAGGATTGCTCTTCCCCAGTTCCTATGGAAAACAGTGTCTGGTGAGACCAGAGACACAAATCTCAATAACACAGTGGGATCTGCTGGGACCAAGCAACTACTCTCTGCCTAAGAGTAAACTCACGAAGCTCAGCTAGAACCAATCCACTTTCCATAGAGCCAGAAAGAATTGCCAATTATTAATGTATTCCTCTTTCAAGTACATCCATATTTATGCCAGGGAAAATACCAATCTGCCTGCTTCCCTTGCAAGGGCAAAGTTACCCGTAGGAAAGCCTTTGTATTAGGAAGTCTCCCTGTAGTATTACCCACAACCCTTCAGAAGGGCCAGACCAGACCCTCATCTGCACAGCCCAGGATCCACTCATCCACAATGGTCAAGAAGCTTGTCTTTAGGATTTCCTGTCGCACACCCTCTCTACTCCCATCATACCTCCAACCAAGCTGTCCTCAAATTAACACCAGCCGTGCACAAAATGTGAACTATTACACAAGACACACAGAAGGTCTAAGTGGAAAGTGGCAGCTGTTGATACCGACTAACCTGTATATTTCATGAACTGACAAGCAGGGATTTACCAGATAAAACAGAAGAATCAGCAGCTGGAAGAAGTGCTAACAATGCAGGACTCTGATAGGGCTTTTTGGAAACACAACAGTTATTGTGAAATTACACAGACAGGAATGAAAAAAAGTGGTGAGTAGTACTATATCCTATTACTTAGAAGATTAAATAAAGGAAATCTCACCAAATTCATGGGGGGAAAAGCCAGATATATAATAAAAAATACACGTAATGAACTTGACTCAGGAAATAAAATATGAATAAAGGCATAGTAGAAAGAACGTGGGGAGGAATGCCTATCAGAATAT